GCGGCGGCGGCGGCGGCGGCGCTGCTTCTTGCAAAGGGAAAGGCCTCTCCTGCCGGGGCCTGGCGGGCGACGGCCGCCTCCGCCGCCCCGACAGGGTCCAGCGAGAGGAAGCCGACGGGCCGGCGCCTCATTGCCAGGAGCCCGAAACGGAGCGACCCACTCCTCGGTCCTGTGGAGCTGCAAAAGGGCTGGGCAGGCATGGCAGGAGTTGGGGGATATTAGCTGGGGACCCCAGTTACTTAACCTCTTCGGGCAGGCAAGCATTTTGCCGGAGTGTTTCGGGCGCATGTGGGCTGTTACTCCACATCGTGTGCAGACCACGTTTGGGGGGCCGCCTTAATCTGAGCTGCCTCTGCCGGGGCAAAGCATCCTATTTCAAGTCTCTGTGTCACGGCAGCAGGTGTGCCCTTACCTTCCGCACAACCCTAGAGGCAGTTTTACCTTTCACCGTCAGAAGCCAGCCCTCCAGAAACCCTTCCTTGAGCACATGAGCCAATTAATTTAGGCATGGCTTTTTCTCAGTCAGAACACCTTCTGAACGGCACAGCGCAGGTTCAGAGGCAGCACTGTGGCTTTTCAGGTGTATCTTGACTCCTGGGCCCAGCTCTAGCCCTCACAAAGGGAAAGAGGGACTACGAGACCCAGGCTGGAAACTATGGCCCATTAAGGGATCCTGAAGGAACCCGGAAGGAAGGTTCAGCCTTGAGACGGCTGAGGGAGGTCACGCGGAGGGCAAGACATCTCCTTGGCCCCAAAATGCGGGCTGCAAATCATGGATCTGAGTTACAGGAAGGTAAATTCTAATTGGGGGAGGAGACTAACAGAGCAGTTTGACAGACAACCAAATACCCAAAGGAGGGGACGGATGTCATCCGCTGGGGATGCTTTAATTTGGATTTCTGCCTTGAACCCCTGCCTAAACAGCCCCTTCCACTACGAAGACTTTATGACAGATGAGCACAGCCAGAAGGGAAAGAAGGCTAAACAACAAGGAATGGACTAGAAAACCTTTTGTTTGCATTCTAGGCACATTTCAAATTATGACAAAACTGGGGAAAACACTCGTTCCACAGACACGATGGATTTCGTGGATGTTTCTGTGCTGAGAACTCAAGTCTCCAGTAAGTTGTGGTTTTGGAAACAAGATGCACTGTTTGGGGAGAAGGAGATTCCGCAGTGCTGGATTTCATTTTTCCTCTCTTGTGAGACTGGCTAGTTGCACTTGAAGGAGCAGTTTCAGAAGCTGAAAATGTTTTTTCTAAAGTTAAAATTCTGTATCTAAGGATCACAATTAATTAGAAATTTATACACACACACACACAACCACCACAGTGGTTTTCAGGGTAAGTAACAGTGTGCAAAGCACAGCATGAGAAGCACTGAGCCACAGGAATTAAAAGCAGGAAACGTGTTGCCTTTCAAGACAGAGCCTTCCTAATCTAAACAGTTGAAAATCAAAGTTCATTTCTAAAATTAATATGGTTTCACAATCAAATGGGAAAACATAAAAAACTCACATGTCAATAATAATAGAATCTTGTCTCAAGGCTACAAAGAACCACCCAAACCATGAACACCCTTTTCCAGTGATTTTTATGAAACAAGGGATCACAAAACACTAAGATTTCTTGCGCAATTTGTTTCTGTGGCTTGCATGGAAAACTTTCAGTTATGATTGTATATTAAACATGATTCTAAACAGTTTTAAAGCTTTTGTACTTCCAGTGGGAGAGGAACACAACTCTGTCCCTGAACAGATGTCTTCAGCTGTGTATGTCAGTCGTGTGCAACAGGGAAAAGCTAGATCATCACCAGTCTGGTGTCGTGGCGAAGGCACCAGGCGAGAAACCAGGAGACTGCGAGTTCTGGTCCCGCCTTAGGCATGAAGCCAGCTGGGCCAGTCCCTCTCTCTCAGCCCCAGGAAGCAGGCAATGGCCAGCCACTTCCAAAACCTTGCCAAGAAAACTGCAGGGACCAGTCCAGGTAGTCACCAGGAGTCAACACTGACTCGAAGGCACACACAGAGGTCATCACCAAAACGGTGCTTAACTGAGTTTTCTGTTTAGCTGGGGAAATACTCTCCTCTGGCTAAGGGGTTCCTTAACCACAATCTACTACTGCAGCGGCTGGATTCACACGGCACAGGAAGCCAAACCAAGCTGTTAATGATAGCTGGTGTGGGTCTTCCGGGCTGTGTGGCCGTGTTCTTGAAGTTTTGTTTCCTAACGTTTCGCCAGCACCTGTGACCGGCATCTTCAGAGTGCAGAGTGCAGAGTGCAGGAGCACAGACAGGAGCAGTTCTCTCTGTGCCACTCTGTAGATGCCAGTCACAGGTGCTGGCGAAACGTTAGGAAACAAAACTTCAAGAACACGGCCACACAGCCCGGAAGACCCACACCAGCCATCGTATGCCGGCCGTGAAAGCCTTCGACAATACATCATATACAGTAGTTTATGTA